CCTTCAATAGTGTTACGGCATCTCAGTAACCAGAGCTTAGATTTGGAACCAACTCATAGAGGGTTCATCTCATTATTGTGCTCTGTAGGTGAACCCATGTATACACTGTGTAACATATATAAGAGATCTTGGCAAGAATAAAGGTATAAAAATTAATACAATCTTGTGAAAGGACAAATGAGAATTGATAGTAGAAACCAAAAAAAAAGGTACCACAAAACACACACAACAGAGAAATTATTTGACAAATAATAAGCAATATTATATCATGTAAAGAAACAGCATGTAAAAAAGTGAATGGATTAAATTATCATGGTAATTGCTATTCACGAACAAGCATGACAGTAAAACCTACATAATCCACATGCAAATGCTAGACCAACCATGCCTCCACCAACAATGGCAACGTCATATTGGTCAGCCTCAGGTGTCAGAGAAACCTTCTCTCGTAACTCCTGCAAATTGCAACCTAATAAGCTCGGAGGTAAAATAATACATAGTAACGTAATGAAGGTATAAGGGAATATATCAGTAAACCGTAAGGGCTGTTCAAACAATAAGCCTCTAATCAGAATTTAACATAATATTTTTTTCCAAACAAACATCATAAACCAAAAATGGCCACATGAATACTTCCTCAACCGTAAAAATATAACCACCATGTTTGCATATAAAAAGTAAGTTCTTTGAGACAGTAGAAGAAATAAGAAAGAATAAATATTATAGGATAATTAGTAACTGATCAGACCCCCCATCACCAAAGTTAAAAAGCAGTTTCTCAGAAAGTTTCCAAGTTTCAGCCAGTGTATACTCTGGTTACCAGATTAGCAGTCCTGCATTGCTAATTTTTCATTAGATTTCAAAAATACAGCATTAAATCTGAGAAAAACAAAATGGCCATATAAATACAACCTCATTCTAGGTTATGTGGACACTGCATTTTGGTCCTGTATCCGTCCAATATGTGTCGAACACGGATTCGCCATGGACACGTGCAGTTCAATGTTGCTGTTTTTCAAAGAAAAATCTCTATACAAGCTGTGATCATTGTTATTTGAGCTGCGATTATTTTTAAGTTTTCTATTTACTTTTATTTAAGCTATGATTTTATTTAGGCTGCAATTATTAGTTTGATTTGAAGTTTTAAACTTTATTCAAATTATCATTTAAAACAACTTTTGTTGCTAAACCTTAATTCTAAGTTTAATTTAACTTCATTCTTAATTATTAGAAATAATAAAAGAATGCTATAGCTGTTTTCATTCAATATTTGATCTAATATAAATTATATATTTACATTTAGACGCACACACGCGTGTCCTCGTATCCGACCTTTTACAAATTTGTCATGTCTGTGTCCGTGTGTGCGCCCGCCCATGTATCTGTGTAAGCTAGTCCTCATTACTTTATCCATAATGACTATATGAGACTTTGTAGGCTGCTTAAACTTATATTTGCCTAACAAATACTGTATCTAAATATATCTTCCATCATGTTATTGATATGGGATCTTCTAGACATTAAATCTTTTTCCAAATGCTCCTGACAATTGCCTCTAGGTCATCTTTATTTCCACATAAAATATCTTCACTAGGAGATGCTCTGCTTGATATGACATGCATGGTATGGATATAGTCCGGTAATATTTCCTTAGTCCTTACCCAACGCCACAATCATCAGAACCAAATGATCAGACATGACTACAAAACAACTCAACATATCTACATTAAGCTTGATTTTCTTTGCATAACTCGATTTCTTTAGCAGATGAAGCAAGCTTATGATATAAAAGCATCAATATGTTCTAGCATTGTCATAATAATTTAACATTTTTATCAAGGTCATCACGTGAACCTTTAACTGAATCCTTTAACTAATTGTCTTGAGTACCATTGTACTAAAAGAAGCAAAAGGTTAATCAAGTTAATTTGTTAGTCCCTGTGTTTTCAGCTAAAGTAGCAAAACAAGCTGAAAGAATTGATCTTCATTTTATCCAATTTTTTTCAATTATTTACATGAGCTTGAGATTGAGCAAGTAAGCTCGTCTAGTTTCTTAAAACTAACCAGAGAAAGCTTTAAGCAATCTCCAGCTGATCCTCTTTCTTTGCTAAGTTAACAGCCAATAGATGGAAGCAGGGAGGGTCTCATGAGTTTCAACACCGCTAGCAGCTTGGTTGTTTTCTTTTCTCCGAAAGTGGTCCTTTCGACTGAAACTGGTGGTGGGGATCAATAGGGGAAGTCGGTTCCATTAAGTAAACATGTTAGAGACGCTGTTACTGTAAAGGTGTAAAACAAATATAAATATTTTTGTGTATCAGGAACCTTATCAAAACTATATTGAGCCTTGAGGCATGCTGGATCCCAGCCATGTTCACGGTCGCTCAATCATCTAGAATGAGCTAAAGTATTTATCATGTAAAGCTCGTTCACATTATCGAACAGCAGAAGTAGCCCTTTCCAGAACCAATTCTAAGCGTCACCTCGAGGTACCTGACCATTTTCAGTCCAACTTAAACTCGGAATACCAAAAAAATTATCATTATACTCCCAAGGAAAATTGAATCAATCTAAACCAGGCTACTAATAATAAGAATCCGTTCCAAAGTCAAAAGAGCGATAGGGTTGCAAAAATAAAAGATTTTTGAACTTCTAGTAATAATTATAAAACAGAGAAGATAAATCTAGGGAAGAAGAAAAAGATATGTTGATTAGACTTCCCATTTCCGGGGTATATATATTTTTCCCATACATACCCTGTTTTGACCATATTGCACTATGTATAATTTAACATTACCCAAGAAATGCTTACCGTTTCTGGTGCAAGTAAGTAGAAAAAAAAAATCTAAGTCAATGGAAGACTTACGAGGATATTTAGAAAAGTATAGACCTTGGCAACAACACTTCCGATACCCGCTAAAATCTTTCATAAGTATATTTATGCACTTGCTCATAATCGTGGTTTACACGATGTTTTACGTGATGATAATTGATGAAATATTAACCAAATCCTTATATCTCCACTGTATATTCAAGGCAATTCGGCTACAAAAACATCAATTTCGCGAAACAACAAATGGATCAGATAATTTAACAGTCGTGTGATAATTTAACAGTCGTGTGATGACAAACCTGCTCAATTTCCACGGTACGGTTGAGATTAGGGGTAGAACTGCAAAATTTTCTTCTAGTCCCGACTTTTAGAGCAAAGACTTTGCAAAGAGCTTCCTTTGAGAAGCCCCTAACATTAAGATAAAAACAGAATAATTCATCAAAAAACAGAAATGCGAGAACAAACTAACGTTTAGAAATAGAGGGAGGAAAAAAGAAAAACCGGCGGGCTTGAATCGTGGATTGAGAAATCCACATCGGCATCAAAAAAATTCAACAATTGCGCGAGAGATGACTATTTTAATCCGCTTTGGGCTTTGTAACCATCAAATTTTGAGGCGATGGAAACCTTTAGGGGTTTTGAATTGGAACGAACGCTCAGAATTGGCGCTTAGGGTTTTAACCGGCCCACGCTGCTCGATTTGCGATCGTTCGTTGAGTCCGGTCGCGGAACTACAGCATCAGAACCCGATCCCTACCCGGACTGAAAGTTGGTTGTTTTTCCTTTCTAACCCTTCTTTTCTTTTTCTTTTTTTCTCCTTTTTGCAAAATATAGCTCCGCTTCACAATTATTTTTACGTTTATTAGCACTTTAATAGCCAAAGTTTAACTCTTTTTAACTTTGATATTTTGAATCTCTATTTTGATTTATACTCAAAATGTTTTTTGGAAAAGTGAGGAAATTTGTAAGGCATTAGTTATTATAGACTATAAAATGAAATGTTGGTTATTAATATTGTATAATTTTCACATGTCACGCCTGAAATTTAGGTTTCATTTCAATAAGTCTAAGCTTCAGTCATAAACCAAATGTCAACACCTAATTTTTGACTTAGGGTCAGTTTGTTTGCATCGAAGTAATTATGAAGTAGCTGAAATAAAAGAAGTAGATGCTACTTCTGCTACTTCCAAGCAAAAAAATATGTTTGGTTCTTTAAAAAACTTACTTCCAATACTTCTTTAAACGCTTATATGGCGCCTACATGTCACTCTTACTTCCAAAATATTTTTCCAATACTTAATACTTAGAAGTAGCGCGGAAGTAGTTGAAATGCATATTAATTAGGAAATAAATTAATTTTTTATTAATATTTCCTTTATTAGTTACTTCTAACAACTTTTCATTGATAAAATTACTTCCTAGTAATATTTCCAAATGCTATCCAAACAAAAAAAAAAGTAAATGAAGAGGAAGAAGTTCTACTTCCATTACTTCTAAAAATATATGCAACAAAAAAAAATTCTATTTCCACTACTTCTAACTTCATAGTTTTGAAAGTTACTTCTATAACCTATTTTTTACTTCAAATACTTCCATTATCCAAACAGGCCCTTAAATACCCCAAGGCCTGCCAAATTTGAACGAAAATACCTTAACTTTACTACTGGTTCACTTAAATACCCTAAGCTTCCCAAAAGTATCACATTGATACCCTCCACTATGTTACAGTTGGAATAGGCTGGGAATGTTCCTTTTTAGATGCCACGTGTTGTTATGTCCTGACATCTGTCCCTAAAGTTGATCACATTTTACATTTTGTACCATCTTCTTATACGTACCCAATTTTCTTTCCCAAAATCATATTTTCCATTGTTTTCTCTCCGATCTCTTTACATGCAACCATTCGAACTCCGGAGATGTCTCCAGTGGCTTATTTTACTCAAACACCAATCCAACATCAAAATCTCCATCTGGGTCTTAATAAAAAAAACTTCATCCTTTGAATCTCGTGGTCTTTGAAAAACCTCATTCTCTGCTTCTCAATCTCCACTACTTGCATTGTCGTTTAACCTCCATACCCTAAAACCACCGCCTGCCAGCAAACTCCATTACCCCCCCCCCCCCATGTGCGCGATCATTGGCTCTTCTTAATGTTGGCTCTAACACTGTGCACGATATTTAGGTGCTTTTGTTTAATTTTTGTAGGTAGAAACGGCATCGGCAGCCTCCTAGCAGTGGGGCTGTTGCAGCAGAGGTGTAAAACCCTAAAAATTTGAATATTTTGTAATAAATAATAATAAATATGTTACATTATAAAAAAATAATATTTATTAATGTTTGAGTATGCTAGAAATTAATTTGAGATCAATTCAATGTATATATGTGAATATAGAAGTGATATTATGCACATGTACACGGGCCTGAATCTGGGAAAAACGATCAGTTAAAAGTATATGTATTTTACATACCTAAGCATTTGGAATCTGGAAAAACTTAAAAGACCAAAGTTGTAGGTCTCTTCAAGATATTTCCAACAAATCTTATATCACCTCATTCTGAGGTCATACGTGAAAGTTATGGTCAAAATACCGAAGGTTATTTTCCTAGTCAGACTAGGTTTCTTGGTTCGGGTCAAACATATTTGTTTCGGGTTTGCCTCTATAAATATCTGTGTTTTTCATAAAAATTCTTCTCTTTTATTATATCTATGAACCTTAGCAGCCACCCTCTCTTCTCAAAAATCCTAGATCTTTTTCTTATGAATTTTGAGAGCTTTGTGAAGCACAATACCAACACGAGGGCGAGATCTTCGATGTGTGACTAGGAAGAACGGGTTGTCTGTGCTCGTGGATTGCTTGCTGTTTATTTCAGAAGCTTAGAACGACGTTTGAGGCAAGATTATCTTCATCTAAACTCATCCTCATAGTTAAATAACTAGTTTAGATGTTTAATATGTGTTTTCATGTTTAAATCTTAACTTGTGATGTTAAAAATCAGATTTTTTTTATGTTAAAACTTAAACCAATGCTAGATTAGTAATCTTTTCTTCCTGTTTATGGTATTATCGTGATCATGATCATTAGGGTTATTCATAATTTTATTTATATATAAGAAATTTAAGAGATGTATGTAGGCATCGAAAATTACCTATAGGTCTCCGTGAGCAGCTCAAAGCTAAGAGGAGATGAGGAACGTCACTATCCAAGTCACAGAAGCTTGATTAATGTTGATGAACGCTTGAAGTGAATCGACGAACTACGTGAAGTAACGGAATTTCAGAATAACGAAGACACGAACTGATCGGGAGTCCCCCGTCGCTTACAAAAGACGAAACGACGCTCCTATCACAGCTTAATCCACAATGATCTAATCATCAGAGCTTATAGAACTCCTTGTCGTCTTTCCAATGCACTTTGAATCACTCAAATCCGAGTTCGGACGAAGAAATTATGGCGGAAACGGACAAGTGCACGGAAAAGAACGTCTCAGCCTGAGTTGAGACACCCCAAGGTGTCTCGGCACAAGCGAGACACCCCAAGGTGTCTCGGCCAAGGCCGAGACACCCTAGGGGTGTCTCCAGGCCTCGCTGAGACACCCAGGGGTGTCTCCAGGCCTAAAAAGGGGCTTTGGTGCAGTTTCAACCACCCGAACTCCCCCCGAGCCTATAAATACAGCCTCAGGCCCTCATTTTTCTGGATCAGGAATTTTGGAGAATTGGCGAAGCCCTGCCGGATTGAAGATTGATCGAGTTCTTCAACGCTACAGAGAGAGATTCTTCAGATATGCACCACCCACATCCGATCCTTAGGATTATCCCGTTGCGATAATCCTAAGAAGAGTAATTATCTCGCCGTTGTCGAGATAAGTGCTTCTGCTTCTAGATTCCTTCGCGAATCGACGGAGTTCTGGATCTGATCTGATTGTCAGGTAGTCCACGGATATCGACGTCCCCATCACCGGCTAAAGACCCACGCAAGCAAGAAACGACGAACGGATCTTGCGTTATTTTCGAGAAAGTTGTAATCTTTCATTTTCTTTTGTTAAAATTTGAATTCTTTGTAAACGATTGATATTATAATGAATTCAGCAATGAAGGCAACTTTTACCGAAGACAAACTGGCGACCACAGTGGGAGCCAACAGCCTCGCTACCGAGGCTGTCGTGACGCAACCGACATTCAAGATCCGGGTGAATGAAGAGATCGAATATGAGTTCGATCAACAAAAGTTTGAAGAGTACCTCTCTTCCTCCTCCCCCAGATCCGCCTCTCCAAGCAGGCGCAGGAAGGTCTCCTCTTCCAGAAACACTCGCGGGATTTCAGGCTTGAAGATCAAGGATCCCCTCGCCACCGCTGCACCCATGCCCCGCGATGTCCCTGCGGCATCCAAAGAAGTCAAAGCTGTAGATCCAGACTCCTCTTCCGCCATGAAGATAAATGGTGAAGGTGCTCTAATTTTTTCGAAGAGGACACGCCAAAGACGGTGTCAACGCCTTGCGCGACAACTGGCCAAAGCTTCGGAGCGCGTCAAGAAGACTCGCTCCACTCTCGAAGAGCGAATCAAGAAACGCCACGCATTGCTCGCGCATGCCCGAGTCCTTCTGCAGAAAGCGGAAGAGATGCAAAAAGAAGAGACGGTTAAGAAGCCGCTCAGACACAAATATGTGTGGGTACCAAAGGCAAAACCAGCACTTAAGACAAAAGTGGACGAAGTTACCGTCCGGCCTTCTTCAAATCCAGATCCTATTTCCCCTGTCCCCGCACCTCCGACGGAGCCGGGTAATAGCGTGGATCTCACAAGATCCAGAGTTCCTTTGAAAGGTCGCCTCGGTCCTTTACCGGAAGATCGAGGTAAAGCACCCGTGAAGGAGCGATTGGGACCATTGAAAGGTCCCCAAACAACAATCCAGACTGGGGGTCGTACCAATCCCCCTAAGAAAGATAATAAAGGGAAAGCCCCTGTTACCGACCGCATTGGATTGCGGGTTGAAGTTCAAGAGCCCGTTAGGTTTTCACGCTCACAAAAGCGTAAACCTGAACGAGTGACTTTTGGGGACGCCAATAAAGTGTCGTATCCCCAGAGGGAAATACATTTGTCTTATGATGATGTTATACCTAGGAAGTTGTGCCAATACTCTATGGGTTGCTCCAGTTATCAAACTGACGAGTTGTACTATAGGGCTGGGGGTACGAATAAGTCTCGAAAAAGAAACGTTCGAGACACGGATTCTCATTGTCCGTGTGCCAACATAATCAAGGCAGTGCTATCAGAATGCTGCTGTTCTAAAGCCCCACGAAGAGTTTCTGTGTTTGAGAGAATCTCCACCAGAACGTCCGAGGCCAGACCAAGACACTACCGTAGAAAGAAAACCTGCTCTTCAAGAAGAGGAATTTCCAGAAGTGTCCTTCAATATGACCGGGAGAGGGAAATCAACGCGACGCTTTAGTCCGGACCAGTTTGCCGCGGTGTCCCAGCGTATAACTCGATTGCGATCGGGGACCAATAGACGAAGGGATTACCAGAGAATGCAGAAGGGACTCCCTTCAGATGATGAAACCTCAGATGTTTGCTCGGATGCTTGCTCGGATGCTTGCTCAGCGATGGCTTCAGATGACACCGCATCAAGTGCAGGACAACCCTACGAATCACTCATGATTAGCGCCGAACAGATGGCTAAAATACCGGAGGATGCTTTGACTAAGCAGAAAGAAAATTTTAAATTTGAAATGGAAATGGCCATGCAGCAGATGAAAGAAATGCATGA